ATTCCAAGATTTTGCAAGGCCTGCCCAGTGCCATTTGCCTTGTGGGTAAAAGTAGAAGTGGAAATCAGGAGGCTGGAGAGAGAAGGAATCATCAAACTAGAGCAGTTTGCAGAATAGGCAGCACTGATCGTACCGATTGTGAAGCCTGATGGGACAATACACCTTTGTGAGGATTTTAAGTAAACGGTAAACTGCTTCTCGCAGCTGGATAAATAACCAATCCCTCACATAGAGGACTTGTACACAAAGTTGGCTGGGGGGAGGGGGACGCTGTCCTTTATGAAGCTGAACATGAGTCACACCTACCTGCAATTGTGGCTGGATGAGGAGTCCCAGAAGCATGCTACAATTAATATATCAATATACAAGAATGCCATTTGGGGCATCATCAGACTTTGCTCTTTTCCAGCAGACGATGGAGAACATTTTCCAAGGGCTACCCCAGGTTATCTGGATGACAAAGTAATAGCGGGAGACCAATAAAGAGCACTTGGAGAACTTGGACATAGTGCTTAAACATTTCTACCAGGTGGGCGTACGCATTAGAAGTGAAAAAAATGTGTTCCAGGTGCCCCAAGTGACCTACTTGGGTTGCAGAGTCAACACAACCAGGTCAGACCCGTTGGAAGAGAAAGTAAGTGTGATCAAAGGTGCCCCAGCTCCCACATCTGTACTGGAGCTAGGTCTTGCCTTGGGTTAGTGAATTATTCCGGAAAGTTCCCATGTAACCTAGCCTCCATCCTGGCTCCCTTACACCAGCTGCTGAAACAGGGTCAGCCTTGGAAATGATTATGTAGCCAAGAAGCAGCCTTTACGGAAGTGAAAAAGCAGCTATTGTCATCGAAGATGTTGGCCGACCACAATCCGAAACGAGAGGTGGTCTGAAATGTGATGCCACCCCACACAGTATCAGGGTAGTGTTGGCTCACCGGTGGCTCAACGTAGAGGAACGCCCGAAAGTGTAAGCTTCCTAGACTCCAGCTGATGCCAAATGCAAATATGCCCAGGCAGAGAAGGAAGGTTTGGTGGTCATCTTTGACGTGAGAAGTTCTACCCATACCTTTACCGATGGGAATTTGCCATAGTAACAGATCACAAAGCTCTGCTAGGGTTACTGAAGGAAGACAAGGTGGTGCTGCCCATAGCTTCCTGTAGAATTCAGCGTTGGGTCCTTATTCTCAGTGTGGACAAGTTAGAAAACCGTGCAGGAAGCCATTTGGCTAATGTAGATGTGTTAAGCTGCCTCCCACTGGCAGTTACTCCATCGGTAGTGCCTCCCCAGAACAGTCCGTTCTGGTTTTGAACTTCCTGGAAACCCGTCTGGTCACCAAGGACAGTACCCGATTGTGGGCACAAAAAGATCCGGTCCCAGTGAGACTGAAACATCTGGTGGTAATGGGGCAAACGGAGGGGCCACTGCAATCTGGATTGAAACATTTTTGGCCCCAGTGAGACGAGACCACCGTAGAGGGTGGCATATTACTGTGGGGAGCAAGGGTGATTGTCCTGAGTAAGGGTCACTGCCAGATACTGACTGAACTCCATCAGGGTCATCCAGGGGTTTCCAGGATGAAGATGCTGGCAAGTACCTATGTCTGGAAGCCAGGGTTGGATGCCAACATAGTGCTTTGGTGGGGCAGGCAGTGCCCAGAGTGCCAACAAGGGCAAAAATTACCACAGCAGTGCCCACATATTTGTGGAAATGACCGGGAAAACCCTGGACTCAGTTACATGTCGGTTATGCTGGTCCTTTCAGAGGCTCCATGTTCCTGGTTATTGTGGACACCCATTCAAAGTGGTTGGACGTGTATAAAGTTTGTTCAGCAAACTCAGGGATGATGATTGAGCATCGTTCACAACACATGGACTCCCGGAGGTATTGGTCATGGACAATGGGACATCATTTGCCAGCAGGGAATTCCGATATTCCCTAAAGACAAATGGCATTTGGCACAAAAGGACAGCTCCATACTATCCATCGTCCAGTGGTCTCATGGAAAGAGCAGACCAAACATTGAAGGCAGGTTTAAGGAAGCAGCCTACAGCGTCACTTGAGGCCAAACTGTCCCAGTTCCTGTCCGATTATAGAACCACCCCATATGCAATGACAGGGATAGCTCCAGCAGCGTTGCTGATGGGGAGAAGACTCTGCTCCAGGTTAAACCTGATTTTCCCAGTCCTGGGGGGTTGCAGGGTGAAATGGCAGCAGGAACACCAATGATGGCCACATGCCTCCTCTAAACGAGTGACAATTTAATTCAGGGGATGAGGTTTGGTGCCGGAACCATGGAAATGGCCCTGTGTGGGTATGAGAGGAGGTTGACACGAGGTCAGGTCCCATCACTTCCAAAGTTCAGGTAGGTGAGGCAGTCCTGAACAAACATGTGGACCAGCTGAAAACTGTTACCTCACAAATGGGGCAGGAGCAAAACATACCTGCCCCCTCAGAACATCCAGAAGGCCTGTTGGAAACTGTAGGTTCTCCCCCTCCATCCAGTGTCAAGTAAACCTCATGGTCCAAGATGGATGCACCTCAATACTGTTACTGTCGGAAGAAGACGAGGAAACTCTCCAGAGATACTCTGAATGCAAGAAATGGTCTATGGTCCGGTACATGCCCATCGTGTCAGAGTCTGAATCAGAGGAACTGGACTTGGGGCAAAAACATTGCAGGAAAAGCTACAAGCCAATGACCAGGCCTACATTTCCCGACTTGGGTGGGAGTGATGTAGTGATTGGAACCAGGTGGACCTCATTGACTACGAGGTTTTTGATTGACTGAGGTTAACAACCCCAATCAAGAAAGCCCTGGGTGACCAGCATAACCAGGAGATTAGAATCTCCTCAGTAGAGGACTGACTCTGAGCTGGATGGTCACAGCCAGTGGACTGTACACTAGTAAATAAAGGGTGAATTGGTGATGGGATACCGGCATCTGTGCAGTTATTTCAGAGCCTCTATGTGTTTTTGTCTCTTTGTGTTTTTTTCCACGAAAATGCATTACCTCACATTTCTCTGCATTGAAATTCATCTGCAAGGTGTCTGCCCCTTTGGCCAACTTGTTGATGTCCCTCTGAAGTCAATCAGTATCATCCTCACAATTCACTATTCTCCCTGGCTTAGTATCATCTGCAAATTTAGAGATTTTGCAATTTATAGAGTACTCCATTTTCTTTTTTGACCAGTCTGAAGAGTGTAGCAGATTGTGTGAGTTTTTCTTCCAAATACTTCACCCTCAATCTTCCCCCTTTAAACAAAACTCTTTCACTCCATCATTAAAGACAGTTTTCTGTTCTCCTCTGGAGTCCCCTCTGTCAGGCTTCAGAATCCCTCTCACAAAGAAAACAAAAGAGAAGAAAAAATATAACCAGGAGATTAGATCTCCTCAGTTCACCAATAAGAGACAATCTAACCACTGCCCCTTGACATTCAACGGTGTTACTGTCAGTGAATCCCCTGCTGGCAAGGTCAATATTTGTTGCCCATTTCTAAGTTCCCTTGAGCGGAGTGGCTTATTTGTGCAGAGGGCAGTTAGGGGTGAACCACACTTTGCTGTGGGTCTGGAGTCAGATGTAGGCCAGACTGGGTAAGGATGGCAGATTTTCTCCCCTAAGGGAGATTGGTGAGCCAAATGAGTTTTTTGCAATAACCAGTGATAGTTTCACAGTGCCTTTTCTGAGACGTGTTGAATATAAGTGCATTTACATTTCACCAGCTGCTATGGCGCAATTTGAGCCCATGTCTCCAGAAGGTTAGCCTGGTTTAAGGTCTTTATCATCAAATACCCCAGACAGCTAAAGGATACAGTAGCACACTGAAGGTTATGTTGAGTTTCAAGTTGTTGTCTGTCCTCACTGAAAGGACACTCCCAGGGTATGGGAGCTGATCCAGAATGTGCTGTGGTTCACACCGAGTGGATCTTGATAGTCAGGGAGCAGAATGTACAGCAGGAAAAAGCTAGTAGAGCTAGTCCAAGTAATCTATGCCAGCGCTTAAAACTCCACCCAAGCTCCCTCTCACCTGACTTCATCTCACCCTATCAGTCTGTTCCTCTAATGCTTTCTCCCTTGTGTGTTCTGACAGCTCCCTTTAAATGCATCAACATTATTAACCTCACCCTCTCCTCATGGGAGTGAGTTTCACAACCTCTCCATTCTCTGAGGAAAGAGATTTTTGATTATTTTTATTCATGCAGAACCTATTTGATGAAGGGTCATAGGAACTTAGGAATTAGGAGCAAGAGTAGGCCTTTCAGCCCTTTGATCTTGCTTCATCATTTAACATGATCATGGCTGATCTTACCCTGGTCTCAACTCCACTCTCCTGCCTGGTCCCCATAGCCCTTTAATCCTGCTTTTCATCAGAAACATATCTATTTCTTTCTTGAATCTGGTGATTGATTTTGCCTCCACTGTACTCTGGGGCAGTGAGTTCCACGGATTCACAACCCTCTGAAAGAAGTAGTTTCTCGTCATCTCAGGTCACTGTGCACAAAATGTTAACTCTGTTTCTGTCTCTACAGATGCTATCAGACCTACTGAGTTTCTCCACCATGGCTTATTTTTGTTTCAGATTGCCAGCAATCACAGTCCTTTGATTTTATCCTAAACTAATTGCACAGCCTTTATCTTCGCTACATATTAACAAAAGCACAAACTTTAAGAAAGTAAATGGATTGTGAAAGGTCAGTGGTTGCAATATCAACCCTGCCCATCAAATTAAAGAACTTCCTGGTCCTTCAAAGACAGAAAATACTTTGAAGTTATGACATAGACATAAATACTTTGCATGTTTGTCTAAAATTCCTTTTTGTGACACCATAACAGAGTTAACCATCTCCTCTAAGCAAGGAAGGTAATAGAATGTGATTAACATTTATATCACATGCTATCATTTCAGGCATAAGAATTTTCACAGCATCACATGATCATGACCAATCACAGGGTTGGGGTGAGATTTCAGTGTTTGAAAGGTACCATTCAATAGGGGAAAGAACTCACCGGTCTCCCTTTGGGGCCCTTTCTCCCACGGGGTCCAGCAATACCCTGAAAAGGAAATGACACACATTACACAAAACAGCTTCTCAAAACAAAATAATTCAGTGAAACATTGAAACAGATGAGCTACAGATGAAAAGGCAGGCAATTCTGAGTCTAAGTAACAAAGGTGTGAAGCAAAACCATGGTTAAAAAATAACCAATGTGTTAATTTATCTCTCTGTGATTACATAGGGGTACTGAGGTGGTAATGTTTTTGGGGAAATAACCCGTAGGTCTAGACTAATGATCCAGAAACATATGATCAACTTATCATAGAATCCTTACAGTGTGGAAGCAGGCCATTCGGCCCATCAAGTCCACACCGACCCTCTGAAGAGCATCCCAACCCATCCCTGCATTTTCCACCCCAGACACTACAGACAATTTAGCATGGCCGATCAACCTAACCTGTACAACTTTGGACTGTGGGAGGAAACCGGAGCACCTGGAGGAAACCCACGCAGACACAGGGAGAATGTGCAAACTCCACGCAGACAACCACCCAAGGTTGGAATTAAACCTGGGTCTCTGGCGCTGTGAGGCAGCAGCGCCAACACTGAGCCACCATGCCATAGTGGCTCAAATTCCATGATAGCTATGGAATTTAACTTCATTTAACAATGAATTAAAATCTGGTGATCAGATTGTTGTTTGCTAATATACTTTAGTGGCAGGAATCTGCTGTCCTTACCTGGTCTGCCCTACATGTGACTCCAGACCCAGTAATGAGATCACTTCTTAACTGCCCTCTGAAACATCCCAGAAAGTCAGTCAGGCAGCTGGCTCTCCATCACCTTCCCAAGGGCAATTAGGGATGGCCAATAAGTGTTGGCCTTGCCTGGGATGCCCACATCCCACGAATAAAAGCTAACTATAACGGGCTTTGATATCCTTTGAAATGGGGTGGAGATGGCCAAGTGGTATTATCACAAGGGTATTCATTCAGAGAACTGAGAAAATAATCTGGGAACTTTCCTTCAAATCCTACTGCGACAGATGATGGAACTTGAATGCAATAAAAAGCTGGAATTAAGAGTCTAATGATGGTATATTCATTGTTGATTGTCAGGGGAAAACCCACCTGTTTCCCTAATGTCCTTTAGGAAAGGAAACTGCTATCCTTACCTGGTCTGCCCTACATGTGACTCCAAACCCACAGCAATGTGATTGATCCTTAACTGCCCTCTGGGCAATTAGGGATGGGCAATAAATACTGGCCTAGCCAGCAATGTCCTCATCCCATGAAATGTTTATTGCATTCAGCCAAGTGATCAGACTCAGAAGTTGTGAACCAATCAGATGATCCTGCTGGAGTGCATTCTGGGAACACACTTACCTTTGTACCTTCTGGCCCGGGTGGTCCTACCATCCCAGGAGGTCCTATAAACCCCTGAAGAGCAAAACGTAGGTGTCAATTAATATAAAGGCAATGTCTTATAAAATGATTCCTGGTCTGGCACAGTTTGTGGCAGCTCTATCTCAGTTACAAGTTAAAGTGGGAGAGTAAATACAATGGTTACACTATGTGGGGGCAGGCGAGAGGCTTTTGAAGTGCCGCTTCAAGGATTAATATTCTAAAGAAGGGTACTTTCATGGTGTTGGGGGCAACAGATTAGCACAGATTGAGGATTGGTTTGCTAACAGGAAGTAGATGACAGGCATTATGGGTAGTTTGTCATTTGGCAGGAAGTAATGAATGGTGTGCCACAGGAATTAGGGCTGGGATCTCAGCTATTTCCAATTCATATTAATCACTTGAATGAAGGGACCTAATGTGTGGTAGCTAAATCTGCTGATGATGTTGTGGAGGAGAATACTGAGATACAGTCTATTAGACTAGACGGGATTGGGGTTCATAAGGAGGAGGTGTTAGCAATTCTGGAAGGTGTGAAAATAGATAAGTCCCCTGGGCCGGATGGGATTTATCCTAGGATTCTCTGAGAAGCTAGAGAGGAGATTGCAGAGCCTTTGGCTTTGATCTTTATGTCGTCATTGTCTACAGGAATAGTGCCAGAAGACTGGAGACTAGCAAATGTTGTCCCCTTGTTCAAGAAGGGGAGTAGAGATAACCCTGGTAATTATAGACCAGTGAGCCTTACTTCGGTTGTGGGTAAAGTGTTGGAAAGGATTATAAGAGATAGGATTTATAATCATCTAGAAAGGAATAATTTGATTAGGGATAGTCAACACGGTTTTGTGAAGGGTAGGTCGTGCCTCACAAACCTTATTGAGTTCTTCGAGAAGGTGACCAAACAGGTGGATGAGGGTAAAGTGGTTGATGTGGTGTATATGGATTTCAGTAAAGCGTTTGATAAGGTTCCCCATGGTAGGCTATTGCAGAAAATACGGAGGCATGGGATTGAGGGTGATTTAGCGGTTTGGATCAGAAATTGGCTAGCTGTAAGAAGACAGAGGGTGGTGGTTGATGGGAAATGTTCATCCTGGAGTTCAGTTACTAGTGGTGTACCTCAAGGATCTGTTTTGGGGCCACTGCTGTTTGTCATTTTTATAAATGACCTGGATGAGGGCGTAGAAGGATGGGTTAGTAAATTTGCGGATGACACCAAAGTCGATGGAGTTGTGGATAGTGCGGAAGGATGTTGCAGGTTACAGAGGGACATAGATAAGCTGCAGAGCTGGGCTGAGAGGTGGCAAATGGAGCTTAATGCAGAAAAGTGTGAGGTGATTCACTTTGGAAGGAGTAATAGGAATACAGAGTACTGGGCTAATGGTAAGATTCTTGGTAGTGTGGATGAGCAGAGAGATCTCGGTGTCCATGTGCATAGATCCCTGAAAGTTGCCACTCAGGTTGACAGGGTTGTTAAGAAGGCGTACGGTGTGTTAGGTTTTATTGGTAGAGGGATTGAGTTTCGGAGCCATGAGGTCATGTTGCAGCTGTACAAAACTCCGGTGCAGCCGCACTTGGAGTATTGCGTACGGTTCTGGTCGCCGCATTATAGGAAGGATGTGGAAGCATTGGAAAGGGTGCAGAGGAGATTTACCAGGATGTTGCCTGGTATGGAGGGAAGGTCTTATGAGGAAAGGCTGAGGGACTTGAGGCTGTTTTCGTTAGAGAGAAGAAGGTTAAGAGGTGACTTAATAGAGACATACAAGATGATCAGAGGATTAGTTAGGGTGGACTGTGGGAGCCTTTTTCCTCGGATGGTGATGGCTAGCATGAGGAGACATAGCTTTAAATTGAAGGGTGATAGATATAGGACAGATGTCAGAGGTAGGTTCTTTACTCAGAGAGTAGTAAGGGCGTGGAATGCCCTGCCTGCAAAAGTAGTAGACTCGCTAACTTTAAGGGCATTTAAATGGTCATTGGATAAACATATGGATGATAATGGAATAGTGTAGGTTAGATAGGCTTCAGATTGGTTTCACAGGTCGGCGCAACATCAAGGGCCGAAGGGTCTGTACTGCGCTGTAATGTTCTATGTTCTATGTTCTATGTTCTATGTTCTATGATACAAAGATAGGGACATCGTCGGGAGACTATAAAGAGTCTGTGAAGAGGCAAAGGTGAGTGAAGTGAGTGGGCAGAGGTTTATCAGGTGAAGTACCAAGTGGAAAAATTATAACTTGTCCATTTCATAGAGCATTTCATTTGGAAAAAATGAGTCCCCTCAGCTCATCATGCTCCTGCTGGTCGCCAAATATCCCATTCCAATCCTAGTTTCCAGCACTTGGCCTACAGCATTTCAAGTGCTCATTGAAATATTTCTGAAACATTGTGAGGATTCCTGCTTTGATCAGCCTTTCAGGCACTGAGTTCCAGATACCCAGGTATTTGATATGAAACGAGATTCAAATATGATGCAGGTTGAGCCAGATGTGGGTGAGAAGCTTGGCCAATCAGAGTAACGGGCTGCATCACCAGGTACACAGCATGATCTGCAAAGTTAAGAGAGCTGGGAAAGCAACATTTATTTTATTTATTCATTGGGAGGATGTTGGCATCAATGGCTAGGCTAGCATTTATTATCAATCTCCAATTGCCCTTGAGAAGGTGGTGACGAGCTGCCTTCTTGAACCACTGCAATCCATGTGCTGTAGGTTGACCCACAATGCTGTTAGAAAGGGAATTCCAGGGTTTTGACCCAGCGACAGTGAAGGAACGGTGATATATTTCCAAGTCAAGATGGTGAGTGGCTTAGAGGGGAATTTGCAGGGGGTGGTGCTCCCACGTACCTGCTGTCCTTGTCCTTCCTGGTGATTGAGTTCAAAGTCATGGGTTTGGAAGGTGCTGTCAGAGGATGTTGGGTTAATTTCTGGAGTGTATTTTATCGATGGTGCGTGCTGTAAAGTGTACATATTGTATGTCACTGGAATTCCGTTCACAGTGGCATTGTGGGTCTACCTACTGTAGTGACTGACACAAGGTCAGTCAGGTGGACTTCATAGAATATGAGTTCCCTGATTGGGGCTGTTCATCTGGTCCAATCAGGGAGCCCTGGCTGACAGATATAAACAGGAGTGTCAGAGGTTCTGCTCACTCTGAGAGCTGGCTCTGAGGAAGCCGGGCCAGTGTCAAGGACAATGCCCATGTAAATTAAGGGTGACTTGCTGATGGAATACCAGCCTCTGTGGGTTATTTCACTCACAGCAGGAGGACTGCAGCAGTTCAAGAAGGCAGCTCACCACCACCTCCTCCAGGGCAACTAGGGATGAACAAGGTGCTGGCCCAGCTGGTGACACACACATCCCATGAATGAACATATAAAAATGTCCCAGAGGCTCCATGGCTTTCATGGAGAAATTCTTCATCCAGAGAGTGAGGGGAATGTGGATTCATTCCCAAAGGGAGTGGTCAAAGTGAATATTAATACCTTAAAGGGAAAGCTGGATAAATCCATGAGGGAGAAAGAATTGGAAGGATAGACTGATAGGGTGAGATGTTGAGGGAGTGGGAGGATATTCATGTCGAGCATAAACCAGTACAGAACAGTAGCACTGAATGGCCTGTTTCAGTGTTGTAAGATCATTATAACGACAAATGCTCACTGTTACAGAGACAGCCTGTGATCAGGAATGAAAATGCTGAGGATAACAATGAGAACTGCTTCAGTTTACACAGTAAAATATCCAACATTGAATATAAAAGCTCTATTCTTCAACAATCCCTTAAGGATCTGATTTCTTTTTTCAAACTGGGATTCCAACATATTGCAAATCAAGACGCAACTATTACAGATGTCAGGGCAATTCCACAACTCATGATATAGATCTGTAGCTTCACTGTGCCTAGGTCAGTGAGTTCAATTCTCATTGGAGATTTTACCGACTCTGACATCTATAATTGTAGGAAAAGAAGCATCAGCAGGACAAATGCTCGGACAGGACTCCCTGTAAGGGCCAAACCTTCTGAGCAATTTACCCCGAGACTGATCAAATTAGCACTGATAGACAAAGCAGCTTTGCAATTTTAAAGGGGCGGGAAAGTGGAGATCAAAGCTGCCCTGGGGGAGGTGGGGAGGGGGTGGTGTTCTGGGAAGATGGCAGGACAGATTAATGGAGAAGCTAATGAAGCAAGAGGGACCTGGGCTTTATAAATAGAAGAATGCAGAGCAGAATCCAAGAGGTTTTGGTAAATATTTATAAAACTTTGTTCCAGCTGCATTATTCAACTCTGGGCACAATCATTTGGGAAGAATGTAAAGGTTTTGGAGAGGATAGAGAGGAGATTTATGAGAGTGTCTCCAGGGTTCAGTGTTTACAGGTAGATGGATGAGGCTGAAGCCAGGACTGTTCTTAAAGAGGGCGAAATTAGCAGGGAATTTGGCAGACATGTTCCAAATCGATGGTTTAAATAAACAAGATCAGTTTCCAAAGGCTCAAAACCAATAAATATATAGATCTCTGATATAACAAAGTGTAGAGCTGGATGAACACAGCAAGGCAGGCAGTGTTCATCCGTTTCTATATCTTGTTATCTCAGATTCTCCAGCATCGGCAGTTCCTACTATCTCTCAATATATAGATCTCTGACTTCTTATGATTGACTAATGATCAGAGGAGACATGAAGAAATCCTTTCCTTAATTCCAGAGAGTAGTTTGGATTTCGAACGCACTCTCTTGATAGGGCAGTGGATCCAAATTCTATAGTACTTTGCAAAAGGAATTGGGGGTGGTGGGGTAGAGGGGAAGTGGGACTAACTGGATTACTGTTCAAAGCAGTCAAAAACATGATGGATCGAATAGGCACCTTCTGTGCTGCAAGGTACAGTCACAGCAATATTTATACTTGAGAGCTCTTCATGTGTTCTCTATATGCTCATGGAATGTGGCGTCACTGGCTGAGCCAGCATACATTGCCTTGAGAAGGTGATAGTGAGCTCCCTTCTTGAGCTGCTGCAATCCATGATTCTAAACACCCATATACCACTATTTTGAAATCCAAACTTCAAACGTTATATATATATAATACACCATTTTTGAAAAATTCATTCATGGGATGTCACTGTGCAGGCCAGCCTCAATTGCTCATCCCTAACAGCCCCAGAGGGCTGCACAATCTGCAACCTGATGTGAATATGTCTCAGTGACTAGCTACCACACTAACTAACTAAACAAAAATACAATTACATTCGATCTATCAAATCAGGCTTCATTCTGGCATCTCAGAGATAGTAAGAACTGCCGATGCTGGAGTCAGAGATAACACAGTGTGGAGCTGGAGGAACACAGCAGGCCAGGCAGCATCAGAGAAGCAGGAAAGCTGATGTTTCGGGTCGGGGCCCTGCTTCAGAAATGGGGGAGGGGAAGGGGGCCCTGAAATAAATAGAGAGGCGGGGCTCGGGCTGGGGAAGGTCGGTATCACCATCCCACTTACTTTCCCCAGACCGACCCCCACTTTCTATATTTATTTCAGAGCCCCCTTCTCCTTCCCCCATTTCTGAAGAATGGTCCCGATCTAAAATGTCAATTTTCCTGCTTCTCTGATGCTGCCTGACCTGCTGTGTTCCTCCAGCTCCATACTGTGTTATCTCATTCTGCAATCTGCCTTGTCCAGCAGTACTGGGTCCATACATCTTTGGATATTGGAAAGTGTTCTCCTGGCAAGGGAATTTAGAACGTGGGGTCTATAGTACTGAGATGAGGAAACATTTCTTCACTCACAGAATTATAGTTTCATTTATTAATCTTTGCAATTCTGTATCCCTGAAAACCTTGGATGCTCAGCCATCGAGTGTATTCAGCACAAAGACTGAGACTGATACTTAGGGGGAGGCAATAGCCTAGTGGTATTATCGCTGGACTATTAATCCAGAGACCCAGGTAATGTTCTGGGTACCTAGGTTCAAATCCTGCCATAGCAGATGGAGGAATTTGAATTCATTGAAAAAGGAAATCTGGAATTAAGAGTCTTACCATGAATCTATTGCCAATTGTCGGAAAAACCCATCTGGTTCACTATATTCTTGAGGGAAGGAAATCTGCTGCCCTTACAGGGTCTGGCCTACATGTGACTCCAGACCCACAGCAATGTGGTTGACTCTTAACTGCTCTCTGGGCAATTAGGGATGGGCAATAAATGCTGCCTAGCCACTTACGCCCATACCCCATGAATGAATAAAAACAAAAAGAGGAGAAATTCCTTCACCCAGACAGTGTTCAGCCTATGGAATTTGCTACCACTGAAAGCAGTCAAGGCCAAAACATTGTACGGTTTCAAAAAGGAGTTGGATATAGCGTTTGGGCTGATGGGATCAAAGGATTTGGGGGAACATGTTATTGAGTTGGATGAACAGCCTTGGTCATAATGAATGATGGAGCAGACTCGAAGGGCTGAAAGGCCTACTCCTGTTCCTATGTCTGATGTACGTTTCTTTGGGTATTAAAGGAATTACGGGACATGGGAAGGGAGTGGGTCGGTGGAGTAGCAGTGGATGATCAGCTATAATCTGGTTGAATGGGGGAGCAGAGGCTTTTGGGGCCGAAAGGCCAGTTGTAGCTCTTACTTGTGGTTTACATTGTACTGTTTATGTTATCTTTCAGGCATCTACAAAGACTTACTCACCGGTCTACCTTTCGGGCCAGGATTTCCTTTGGGCCCAGCTAAACCCTGCAATAAAAAGAGGAATAAACATATTAGGAGTTAAGATTACAGGTTGCCCTCCACAAAGATGGTCCAATTGCTGAGGCCAGGTTTTAATTTAAGATTAAAAGACTTGGAGTGGAGTTACCATCATCTTAGCACAGCCATGCTCTCTCTATCCCTCTCACTTACTTGAGAAGTCATCCTGTTGCTTTCTCAGTACCAGAGAGTCTTCGATAGGACCCCAGCTGTGAGAACCCTGAGCTGGTGACTGAGCTCATCCCCCTCACTATCCAACTGGAGTTAGTCTCAGCTGGGTGCCTGCCTCTTAGATGGTAGGGCCTGATTTCCCCCATTTGTTCATGAGAGTGGAGAGCTAATATCCATGGAAAAAAATATCCTCCTCGAATCTTCCCCAATTCCTCTCGCCATTACACTTGCTCTTAACAAACTGAACATTGTGAGAAACTTTCAAAAACCTCCCTGCCATCCATGAGCAGGAATTACACAAGCATTAAGTTAATCAGAGCTGCAGGCACCATATGCCAACATAGTTTTTACAAATTACTCTCAAATTTCAAATACTACCTTACATTGTTGCTTTACTCCACACTTCTACCTTTTGGCTACACACAGCAAAATGCGTCAAAGAGAATTGGAGCAGGAAGAGGCTATTCAGCCTTGGGAATCTGTTCTATCCTAAATATTATAATGGCTGATCACTGTCTTAACTTCAATCATTATTCTTTTTTTATATTTTATACAATTGGCTGGCAACAATCAATCAGAATTAGACTTAAAATGATTTATTCAGTTATTTTTTGTGCATTTCTCAAATCCACCAATGGGTTCTCTGCTGTGGCCTATCATAAGCCCAATTTCACCAGTCAATGCTGTCACAGTCCTGGTCAGAACAGTGAGGTGGACATCCAGCCTCATCTTCTACAATCATCGCAATGTGAAAATATGACTAAGTCAATCTCTCGTATGGTTTAATTCCTGTCTAATTTAGACAATCAAAAATTGGAAGAGAAGCGAGCCATTCAGACCCTCAAGCCTCATCTAAAATATGGTTGTTCCTAACTGCAGTGTGTAACCTGGAGGGACATCAGCCTTTTACTGGTGGCTCCTTGGTCTGAAGTCACCCATATCCCAAAGTGACCAAGTGGTCTTTCATTTTTGAAGGTGAAGATTCATCCTTTTGAAGAATTCCAGGTAGAAGTAAATTGTTGCTAGTATCCTAACTCTGGACTTTGTCCTCAAGGTTAATGCCTGATTGTGAGCACTCTCTAAGGTAAAGGAAACTCACCCAGGTTTCATCAATGAAGAAGAGACAAAATCTTATTTGTCAAACAATCTGATCCTCTATCTTGTAGCAAAATCTGATTCTGAATTACTAATATGCAAACTTAAACTATAGCCCCTTTAACTCTAAAGTCAGAACTAGCAATGCTTCTTCGGTATTTCATAATGGACACAGTACAGACTGTCCCAACTAACCCCAATTCCAAAACCCAAAATAAATTTGATACTGTTAGATGTGCTTCTGACATTGCACCTATTGAACAATCCCAAATTTGCCACTACCTATGCTAACAACCAATTTAAGAAAATCAGTTCAACTTCCTTGAAATGACACACATCCTCCATAAGGAGCCATTGTATGCAAAAGAGGGGAATTTGCTCAAGTCTTGCAATTTTTAAAAAGGATAGAGGAACTTTGGGGGCCTATAGTTCCCCATTGCTTTATTCACAGCAACACCTCAGCCAATTAGAATCGTTTTATCAACTAATCAGCACCATTTCTCTTGTAGTAAAAGCTGTCACAATCACTGTTCATTACAGCCTTGGTTCAAACATGGACAAAAGAGCTGAATTCCAGAGGTGTGGTGAGAGTGACAACATTCGAGCAAGTGTGGTATCAAGGAGCCCTGGCAAAACTGGAATCAATGGGTATCAGGGATCAAACTCTCTGCTGGTTGGAGGTGACATGTAGAAAGATGGTCGTGGTTGTGGGAGGTCAATCATCCCAGCTCCAGGACATCTTTGCAAGAATTCCTCTGGGTAGTGTCCTCAGCCCAACCATCTTCAGCTGCTTCATCAATGATCTTCCCTCCATCATAAGGTCAGAAGTGGGGATGTTCACCAATGCTTGCACAATGTACAGCACCATTTGTGACTCCTCAGATACTGAAGCAGTCGTGTTCAAATGTAACAAGATCTGGACAATATCCAGGCTTGGGCTGACAAGTGGCAAATGACATTCGTGTCACACAAATGCCAGGCTATGACCATCACCAATAAGAGACAATCTAACCACTGTCCCTGGATATTCAATGGTGTTACCATCACTGAATCCCCCACTATCAACATCCTGGGGGTTATCATTGACCTGAAACTCAACTGGACTCACCATATTAACACAGTGGCTACAAGAGCAGGCCAGAAGCTGGGAATACTGTGGCAAGTAACTCACCTCCTGACTCCTCAAAGCCTGTCCACCATCTACAAGGCACAAGTCAGGAGTGTGATGGAATACTCCCCACTTGCCTGGATGCGTGCAGCTCCATCAACACTCAAGAAGCTTGACACCATCCAGGACAAAGCGGCCCGTTTGATTGGCACTACATCCACAAGCATTCACTCCCTCCACCACCGACGCTCAGTAGCAGCAGTGTGTACTATCTACAAGGTGCACTGCAGAAATTCACTAAAGATCCTCAGACAACACCTTCCAAACCTGCAACCACTTCCATCTAGAAGGACAATGGCAGCACACATAGATGAACACCACGCCCTGCAAATTCCCCTCCAAGCCACTCACCATCCTGACTTGGAAGTATATCGCCGTTCTTTCACTGTCGATGGGTCAAAATCCTGGAATTCCCTCCCTGATGGCATTGTGGACTGCAGTGGTTTAAGAAGGAAGCTCACCACCACCTTCTCAAGAGCAACTAGGGATGGACAAGAAATGCTGGCCAGCTAGCGACACCCACATCCCACAAATGAATAGAAAGGCATTCGTGCATTTGTCCTGATGAAAAGCTGCAATAACAAGTCTCCCTTTTCATCAGGATTCATGTTCCGGGCAACAAACAAAAGCTTAACGTAAGCAAATGCAGCAATGTTATTTGAAGGTTTAAAGAAAGGCTGAGATTGGTCGATTGTGGGACTGAGATGGAAGCAGCATGTGTAAAATCCAACGTGTAGTTACTGCACCTGCCTGCCTGGGTATCCACTCACTCCCAGGTTCCCATCTGGCCCAGGGAGACCCTGCAAAGTAAAACATCTGGCATTAAAATACAGACCACCTTCAAAAATAACAGACTGAGGAGCACAATTTTATCTTTATTCAAAGGAAGCGTGTGAAAGTCGCAGCCAACAGTTTGTGTTTATTCCTAATTACCCATCAGAAAGTCAAACATAACTCACTGACTTACCAGGCCATTTTGTGGAGCCAATGGCTCTCTGATATTATCACTAGACAATTAATCCAGAGAACCAGGCAATGTTCCAGGAACTGGGGGTTTGAACCCTACCATAGTGGAATTTAAATTCAAGAGAAATTTGGAATGAAGATCTAATGATGCCCATGAGACTGCTACCAATTGTCAGGAAAAGCCATCTGGTTCACAAATGCTCTTTGGGGAAAGAATTTACTACTCTGGCTCCATGTGACTCCAGACCCACAGCAATGTGGTTGACTCCTAACTGCCCTCTGGACAATTAGGGATCGGCAATAAATGCTGCCTGGCCAGTGAGACCCTCATTCTGTAAATGAATTTAAAAAAACGTTTTGCTGTGGGTCTGGAGTCACATGTTGGTTGAACTAGGTAAGGACAGCAGCTTTTGTTCCGTGATGGGCATTAATGAATGGATGGGTTTCTAACAATAATGTGGTACATAGATAGATGAACCAGGATCAGAAGTAGGCCATTCAGCCCCTCCAGCCTGCTCCTTCATTCATTGATCTGACTGTAATCTCATACCAACATTGCTGTCTGTCCCTGATAACCTTTAACCTCCTTGCTTAACAAGAATTAATCTACATCCGGCTTAAAAATATTTCAGGGCTCTGCTTCTCCCAGAAGAGGAAACATCCTTTTCACATTCATCCTATCAAGACCCCTCAGGATCTTTTCTGTTTCATCGCTTACTCCTCTAAAGTCCAATGGGTACAAGCCTAGGCCGACCAGCTTCTCCATAAGGTATAAGATCAGAATTAGGCCATTCGATCAAGGCTTATATGTTTCTCAAATCCATTTTCCTGTCTTCTCCCCGTATCCCTCAATCTCCTTACCAATCATGGACCTGTCTATCTCTGTTTTAAATACACTCAATGACTTGGCCTCCACATCCCTCCATGGCAACGATTTCCACAATTTCACCACCTTCTGCTGAAGAAATTCCTCCTCATCTCTGTTCTAAAGGGTCGTCCCTTCACTCTGAGGCTGTGTCCTCGGTTCCTACTCTCTCCTACCAGTGGAGACGTCTTCTCCACATATACTCTATCCGGGCCTCTCAGTATTTTGTAAGTTTTAATCAGATAGCCCCCACTCTTCTAAACTTCATCAAGTACATACCCAGATTCCTCAACTGCTCCTTGTATGACAAGGCCTTCATCCCCAGGATCATTCTTCCTCTGGACCCCCTCCAGCAGCAGCACATTCTTCCTTAGATATGGGGCCCAAAACTGCTCACCATATTCCAAATGTGTTCTACCAGAGCCTCATACATCTCTGATCTTGTATTCTAGCCCTCTCAAAATGAGGGGGTGGGCTGGGGGCAGGGTGAAGGGTGTGGGGGCAGGGTAAGAGGTTTGGGGGTCGGGGCAGGGTGAAGGGCTGTACGAAGGGTGTGGGAGTAACGTCAGGGTGTGGACTCAGGGGACAGGGTGAGAGGTATGGGGGCAGGGTAAGGGATTTGGGGGTCAGGGGCAGGTCGAAGGGTGTGGGGCAGGGTGAAGGGTGTGGGGGCAGGGTAAGGGGTGTGGGGGTCAAGGGCAGGGTAAAGGGTGCGGGGGCTGTATGAAGGGTCTGGGGGTAGCATCAGGGTGTGGACTCAGGGGACAGGGTGAGAGGCATGGGGCAGGGTAAGGGGTGTGGGGGTCAGGGGCAGGTTGAAGGGTGTGGGGCAGGATGAAGGGTGTGGGGGTAACATCAGGGTGTGGACTCAGGGGACAGAATGAGGGGTGTGGGGTGAGGATTGTTGGAGTGGGTTGAGGTCGTGAGGCGGGGTGACAGGCCATTTGTCGTTCACCAACATGATTTATATCCAGACCCAGGGATGTATCTGAGTTCGACCAGTAGCAGACCAGTTATTACAGCAAAGAACAGCCAAATAGCAAGAATTTGAAAAACCTGCCAGCAAAATAAATCTCCTGTACATCTCAGATGTCCTTGTTTTTCAAGGACCGCAACGTCCCCCCCTCAGTGGTCAAGAACACCCTCGACCGTGTCTCCCGCATTTCCCGCAACTCATCCCTCACACCCCATCCCCGCAATAACAACAAAAACAGAATCCCCCTCGTCCTCACGTACCACCCCACCAACCTCCGGATCCAATGCATCATCCTCCAGCACTTCCACCATCTGCAATCCGACCCCACCACCAAAGACATTTTTCCCTCCCCACCCTTATCTGCTTTCCGGAGGGACCACTCTCTCCGTGACTCCCTTGTCCACTCCACACTCCCCTCCAGCCCCACCTCACCCGGCACTTTTCACATCTGCCAATGTGGTATACTGTGTCCGTTGTTCCCGGTGTGGCCTCCTCTACATCGGGGAAACCAAGCGGAGGCTTGGGGACCGCTTTGCAGAACACCTACACTCGGTTTGCACTAAACAACTGCACCTCCCAGTCGCGAACCATTTCAACTCCCCCTCCCATTCCTCAGACGACATGTCCATCCTAGGCCTCCTGTAGTGCCACAACGATGCTACCCGAAGGTTGCAGGAACAGCAACTCATATTCCGCTTGGGAACCCTGCAGCCCAATGGTATCAATGTGGACTTCACAAGCTTCAAAATCTCCCCTCCCCCGACCACATCCCAAAACCAGCCCAGCTTGTCCCCGCCTCCCTAACCTGTCCTTCCTCCCACCTATCCCCTCCTCCCACCTCAAGCCCCACCCCCATCTCCTACCTACTAACCTCATCCCGCCCCCTTGACCTGTCCGTCCTCCCTGGACTGACCTATCTCCTCCCTACCTCCCCACCTACACTCACCTTTACTGGCTCCATCCCCGCCTCTTTGACCTGTCTGTCTCCTCTCCACCTATCTTCTCCTCTATCCATCTTCTATCCGCCTCCCCCTCTCTCCCTATTTATTTCAGCACACCCTTCCCCTCCCCCATTTCTGAAGAAGGGTCTAGGCCTGAAACGTCAGCCTTCCTGCTCCTCTGATGCTGCTTGGCCTGCTGTGTTCATCCAGCTCTACACCTTGTTATCTCAGATTCTCCAGCATCTGCAGTTCCTGCTCTCTCTGAAGCAAAATAAATCTGCTTTTTCTCCTAGTGTTAATTGTACATGAAGCCAGACTGGCTCATATTGCAACAACATCCTGCATTTGCAAAGAGCCTGAAGGATGAGGGGGCAATTGATAGAGGTTTTTGACATTAGGAAAAGTTTGATGGAACAGATATAGACAGCAAGTTACTGATTGGTCAGAGATCAGAACAGACAATGTAAGTAAAAGATAATTTTTTTTATTTCCTTTGGGACATGGGTGTCACTGGCTAGGCCAGAAATAATTAGCTGTTCCCAGTTGCCCTCGAGGTGGTGGTGAGCTGCCTTCTTGAACCAGTTCCTGAGTGTTGTTGGGGCTGCACCCATCCAGGCAAGTGGGGAGTATTCCATCGCACTCCCAACTTGTGCCTTGTAGTTGGTGGACAGGCTTTGGGGAGTCTGGAGGTGAGTTACTCGCTGCAGTATTCTTCATCATGAGTAAATCCAATCAGAAGTACAGGCACAACATCTTTCCCCAGAGAGCGGGGAGAATTTTAAAAAACTTGCCCATGGGACGTGGGCATCGTTGGCTGGGCCAGCGTTTATTGCACAAATCCCTAATTGCCCAGAGGGCAAATAAGAGTCAATTCTGAAGATGGATCGCTGGACTCAAAATATTAACTCTGTTTTTCTCTCTCCACAGATGCTGCCAGACCTGCTGAGTTTCTCTACCAATTTCTGTCCATGTTTGCTTAAGGATCAACCACATTGCTGTGGGTCTGGAGTCACATGTAGGCCAGACCAGGTAAGGATGACAGTTTCCTTCCTTAAAGGACATGAGTGAACCAGATGTATTTTTAATACAAGTGACAGTGGTTACATGATTATTATTAGGCAAGCGGTTTATTCCAGTTTTTTATGTTTAACTGAATTTTTTTCCAAAGGGGAGCTGGGTAACCAATGAGGGAGAAAGGAATTGAAGGATATGGCGGCAGGGTAAGACGTAAAGGGGCTGACCAGTTGATCTGAATGTTCAATTTCTTTGCAGTAGATTTAACCCTAACCTTCGATAAATGTTTTGGAAGCAGTCTGTTTCCAACACAGAGCCCCACACAAGCCTCCTCCCACTTCCTCTTCTATACCTTCCCATCAGGGGCCTGGTCTGTCAGAGCTTCCTCCCAGCACCCTGACCTCTTACTGTTGGTCAACATCATAGACCAGGAGTAGGCCATTCGGCCCCTTGACCATTCAACAGAATCATTGTTGATCTGACATTCATTAAATCCCTACAGCATGTAAACAGGCCATTCAGCCCATTGATTTTCACCAACCCTATGAAGAGCATTCCACCCAGACCCAGGCTCTCAACCTATCCCTGTAACCCCTGCATTTCCCATGGCTAAACCACCTAACCTGCACACTATGGGTAATTTAGCACGGCCAATCCACCTAACCTGCACATCTTTGGACTGTGGGAGGAAGCTAGAGCACCCGAAGGAAACACACACAGAGAAAGGGAAAATGTGCAAACTCCACACAGTCTCCCAAGTCTGGAATTGAACCTGGATCCCTGGCACTGTGGGACAGCGTGACACTGTGCCACCCTAACATCCTACATCCACTTTCCTGTCCTTTGGCCATAACCCTCGATTCCCCGACTGATCAAGAATTTATCTATCTTCACCTTAAATATACACAAGGGCTCTGCCCCCACAGCTCTCTCTGTGGCAAGGAGGTTCAAAGACTCACAACCATCTGAGAGAAGAAATTCCTCCTCATCTCTGACTTAAATTGAGGCCCCTTTATTCTGAGACTATACCACCTGGTCATAGACTCTCCCACGAGGGGAAACATCCTCTCAGCATTGACCCTGACCAGCCCCTTAAGAATCCGATATGTTTCAATGAGATCACCTCTCATTCTTCTAAACTCCAGTGAGTAGAGCCCCAAACTGTGTAGCCTTTCCCTCAGAAGACCACCCCTCTATACCAGGGGCCAGGATGGAGAATGGCCTAACCCTGAGCCTAATTGGCTATGTAGGGGCCTCCAGTTGGGTGACGGAAGGAAGGGAACTCAATGCTGGAAGTGACAGGAAGGACAGTTGAGGAATCTTGTGGGGACCCTCAGCCGAAAACCAGCCAGCAACAAACAGCTCATAACACTCTAGCCATGGAATCTAAAATGGAAGCATTGCTGGACCAGGAGTCAATGCAGATCCATAAGGCCATAAGAAATAGGAGCAGAAACAGGCCATTCAGCCCACTGAGTCTGCTCCACCATTCAGTGAGATTGTGGTTGATCTGATAATCCCCAACTCCACTTCCTTGCCTTTCCCCATAATCCTTAATTCATCGATCAAAGGAGTGACAGAAGGTCAGGGCTGAATGTGAGTGAGATAATTGGCAGCAGCTTGGAGAACAGCAATTTAAAAATCCACCACCTGAGAAATAACAATTAATAAAGTGACATGATGATGGACCTGTTAGTAGAGAGAGAAGAATACTACATACACGTTCCCCTGGGGGTCCAGGTGCACCTTGGTATCCTTTGGGACCCTGAAAGAGAAATATTAGAAAAAGTGATGTGTTTTTCATGGCCAGACAGTGAAACAATGTGCCAACACCTCAAATCCTTTCCCCAGTGTAATTAATACCAGAGAGACACTGCAGATGCAAAGTTAATTCACTTGTATAATCAGTCAGATATGAAATAATTCCACAGAGGTCAGTATCCTGTCACCAAGTCACCCTTTATTTACACATGGAGAGTTCTTGACACTGATCCAACTCCATCAGAACCAGCTCTCAGAGTGAACGGAACCTCTGACAGTCCTGTTTATATCCGTCAGCCAGGGCTCCCTGATTGGACCAGATTAAAAGCTCCAGTCAGGGAACTCAGATTCTATGAGGGTCACCTGGCTGACCCCATTACAATCGCTACAAGACTAGAAACCAGCTACATTGACCTATTATCATGACATGCCATGCCCATCTCCCGTGTGCCAACATCACATTAAAATATTTGCCTGAGAAAACTTTTCTTAAAAAGGGGCACACTTATTCAAAGAAGAATTACCCACACTTTCAGGCAAACTCTTTCTCTGTATTTTGCCAAATACTGCAAGGTCATAACACAAATGGTCAAACATTTGTAGAATTTAGAAATGACAGCACAGGACAATGGCATTCAGCCTATTGGGATTGTAAAAGATCTATCCAATAAGACTCTCTCTTCCTACTCCTTTTCCCATCACCCTGTAAATGTTTCCACCTTCAAGCATTTATCAAATACTCTTTCAAAATTTATGACTGAATCTGCTTCCACTGCCCTTTAAGGCAGCATGTTCCAGATAAAAGAAACTCTCATCTCCCTCTCTGACTCTTTTCTGGATTCCCTTCAATCCGTCTCCCTCTGGACTCTCCTGTCACTGGAAATACTTTCACCTGATTTACCCAATCGAAACTTGTCATAATTCTGACCAGCACAATTCAAGCCCCTCTTCACCTTCCCTGCTCTAAGGAGAACATTCGCAGTTTCTCCAGTCTCCCCTTAACATTCGCAGTTTCTCCAGTCTCCCCTGCAACTGAAATCTCTCGCAACGTTCTGGTAAATCTCCTCTGCATCCTCTCCCAGGTCTTGACATCCTTCCCAAAATGCAGGGATCCACAATCTTCCCATTTGAAGGCCTGACCAGTAATTGAGAAAACATTTAACCCAACCTCCTTGCTTTGTGCTCTTGTGCGCATTTGTCACGTGTCTGCAGTCGCAATTCAATGTGTACCACATTATCACAAACAATGGACATTTCTGCTTCACATGAGCCTTCGCGCATCCCCTCTTCATCTCACTCAATCAATGCAACCATCTGTCCCTCTCTCCCCTTTTTTTTTAAACACCGTGTCTTTTTATTTTTCTGTATTTTTGATTGTGGACTGCAATGAGAAAAGAAGAGTTTTAAAATGAAGGATTGCTGCATGTTTTGGAAGCAAAGAGCCTGACTCCCATTGTGCTCACTGTTTACACAGCTGCTGCTTCCTGCTGTAATTGAAGTGCAGTGTGCAGAGGAGCTGGAGCCATGGGGTTGTGTGCAAATCCTTCAGACCTCCGTCAGTTCAAAGAAGAAGAACAAAGAAAATTACAGCACAGGAACAGGCCCTTCAGCCCTCCAAGCCTGCGCCGATCCAGATCCTCTATCTAAACCTGTCGCCTATTTTCCAAGGATCTGTATCCCTCTGCTCCCTGCCCATTCATGTATCTGTCTAGATATATCTTAAATGACGCTATCGTGCCCGCCTCTACCACCTCTGCTGGCAATGCGTTCCAGGCACCCACCAGCCTCTGCGCAAAGAACTTTCCACATATATCTCCATTAAACTTTTCCCCTCTCACCTTGAAATCATGACCCCTAGTAATTGAGTCCCCCACTCTGGGGAAAAAGCTTCTTGCTATCCACCCTGTCTATACCGCTCATGATTTTGTGGACCTCAATCAGGTCCCCCCTCAACCTCTGTCTTTCTAATGGAAATAATCCTAATCTACTCAGCCTCTCTTCATAGCTAGCCCTCCATACCAGGCAACATCCTGGTGAACCTCCTCTGTACCCTCTCCAAAGCATCTACATCCTTTTGGTAAAGTGGTGACCAGGAGCTCTGTCCATCCTCTGCAGTAAAAGCCACTTTAAACTTGAAGAATAGCAGGTGTTTTTTTCTACAGCAATTGCTGTAAGCTGTGACTTTAAATTAATATGTCAGAAACCTTTTATAAATATGAGCCAGCCACACTGTGTACTTCCTGCAAAACCAGTGAAAGCATCTGGAGATGGAAGACCAGAAAGCAACGTTATAACCAGCACAAGAACCATCTCAGCAAACCCTTGAGAACAGGAACAAATGAACTGCTTTTCCAGTCTTTCCTGTCATCATTTTTCTTGTCTATCTGTAAAGGGAGCTTATAAAGGATTACAGCTTTAATTAATAGAGTTAAAAGCCGATGGTTCATCATTATTTACCAGTAGCCAGACTTATTTACTTGTAATAAAGAGTAATTCCTGTTAATTACAGAAACCAAGTTCATGCTTTCTCTCAACCTAAGTCAGGGAAAGTGAAGAGTTCTGTGGACTTTTGAAATACATTAACTTTTCTGATGTTCCCTGGAATAGTGGGGCTTGATTTCCAGCATGCTATCCCAGTGAGGTGTAACACCTGCCCACATACCACCTCCATCCAGGTCTCTAAACAGCCCTTCCAGGTGAGTCAGATCCTCACCTGCATCTCCTCCAACCTAGTCTACTGTATCCGGTGCTCCCGATGTGGTCTTCTCTACATCAGTGAGACCAAACGTAGACTAGGTGACTGTTTTGCTGAGCATCTTTGTCTGGCCCGTAACGGCCAACCTAACCTCCCAGTCACCACACGTTTCAACTACCCCCCAGCACCCCCCCACCGACATGTCCGTCCTCAGCCTCCTTCAGTGTCGCAGCAACTCGGAATGCAAACTTGAGGAACAATGCCTTATCTTCCGCCTGGGCACCCTACAGCCCAGAGGATAAAACATTGAGTTCTCCAATTTCAAATAATCTTCCCACTCGTCCCTGGCTCCCTTTCCAGCCCCACCTCCTCCCTTCCATTCCACCTATTGACCCTCCCTTCCAGCCACCAACTGGATTCACCCTCCCATCGACCAACCAGGGTCGTACCTACCACCAGTGTCCACCTATCACCACCTCCCTCCCTCCCTCCCTTTACCTGCAGCTCCCCCTACCCCCACATCCAGTCCTGAAGAAGGGTAATACCCGAAATGTTAACTATTCCTTTTCCTCCCGATGCTGCCTGGCCTGCTGTGTTCTTCCAGCCTCCTGTTTGTCGATCAAGGTGTAACATTAACTCGTTTCTTCCTAAATGCATCAAAACTGTTCACAGAATCATAAAATTGTGACAGCACAGAAGGAGGCCACTCGTGTCTGCACCGTTTCTATTCTATAGCGCCAATCTCATCCCTTTCCCCCTATCTCTGTGCTCTATTTCCATCCAATTCCCTCCTGAATGCCTGAGTTGAAACTGCCTCCAGCATATTTCCAGGCAGTGCATTCCACACCCTGACTACCAGCTGTGTGAAAAAGCTTTCTTTCCCCCAACATCATGCTTGCTTCATGTGCAGATCACTTTATAATCACCTCCACCACTCCTTGTGGAAGTGAGCTCCACAGTCTCTTCACTTTCGGAGGAAAGTGGTTTCTTCTGAATTTCGGATTGGATTTATTCTTGAACATTTTATATTTATGGCCTGTGGTTTTTGGTTTGCCCGCAAGTGGCACAGTGTTTAGCACTGCTGCCTCGCAGCGCCAGGGGCCCAGGTTCGATTCCACCCTCGAGCGAGTGTCTGTGTGGAGTTTGCAAATTCTCCCCATGTCTGTGGATTTCCTCCGGGTGTTTTGGTTTCTTCCCACAGTCCAAAGATGTGCAGGTTAGGTGGATTGGCCATGGAAATGGCCCATAGTGTCCAGGGATGTGTAGATTGGATGGGTTTGTGGTAATGGGTCTGGGTGGGATGCTCTGAGGGTCAGTGTGGACTTGTTGGGCCAAAGGGCCTATTTCCACACTGCAGGGATTCTACAAGAAGTGAAAATCTCGTCAGTGAAATCATTGTGAGAGTTAGTGCAGAACTCTTTCCCCAGCTCATGCCAATCCTCCTTTCGTTATTAAATGCTCAGTATGACAGTGAGAATCCTGGAAAGAGAGAGTTTCAGTAACCAGGAAGAAAGACAAAGATAGATTACTTTTCCAATGCTGGAGACAGTTCAATCCACTTAGGCATTCCCACTCAAAATATTCACATTCGCGATTATTTTCCAAATGTAGTCATCTGGTCAACAGAGCAGGAAAAGCCAACACTGCGGCTAAAATTACACCTCAGCAAAGACTCTATCAACGCAGAATCCTACAGATGCTGTAAAACTGAACCAAACACTGGAAATACACGGCAGGTTTGACCACCTGTGTGGAGAGAGAAGCAAAGTAAACACCTCCAGTCTGTCACCTTGGAGTTAACTTTCTGGTTTAGTGCGTTGACAAATCACATCTGATCACATCACATTACATCATCCAAATCACATCACATAGGGCGGCACGGTAACACAGTGGTTAGCACTGCTGCCTCACAGCACCAGGGACCCTGGGTTCAATTCCAGCCTCGGGTGTCTGTCTGTGTGGAGTTTGCACATTCTCCCCGTGTCTGTGTGGGTTCCCTCCAGGTGCTCCGGTTTCCTCCCACAGTCCAAAGATGTGCAGGTTAGTGTGGATTGGCCATGCTAAATTGCCCATTGTGTCCAGGGATGTGTAGATTAGGATGGGTCTGGGTGGGATGCTCTGAGGTTCAGTGTGGACTTGTTGGGCCGAAGGGCCTGTTACACACTGTAGGGATTCTATGATCTGGTACTCTGTGACAAAGTCACTGAGCTGAAACTCTTATTCGGTGTCTCTCTCTGCAGTGACTACCTGACCTGCTGAGTATTTCCAGCACTTTGTCTGAACTCCAAACTTTCTTTTACTTCTCCAGA